TCAGGGACTTATTTTGTGTGTCTCCTTCCAGAGCCCCGTGTGTTTTCCTTCAGGCAGCGAGAGACCGAAAGGCTCGTGACTGAGTAACGGGAAGGAACCAGTTGAAGTGGTTCTGAGTTTTCTAGAAGGAGCCAGCTGGGGTGTCCTTGAAGTGCCCTTCTGAATTTAAATTTTATAGCCTTTACTTTTAGGAAGGCTTAAGATCTCACAGAACAGGCGCTGGGCCTCTTGTTTAGAAGGAAGGCTCAAGAAATCCTCCCGCTTACCAGCGGAGAGAAAAATTGATATTGATCTTGGCGCCTCGGTGGGCAGCGTGGGGAGGCGCGCCCTTCCCCGCGGGCTCTGGGCGCCTTTGTCGAAGTGCCCAGGCCCCGGCGCAGGGGAAGCCGCTGCCGTTTCTTCAGACGGGCTTGTGAGGGGCGGAGGCCCGGGTGACGCCCGAAGCCTTCATGGAGGCCCAGGTGACGCCCGAAGCCCCGGGGGAGGCCCGGCCACTCTCACAGCGACTGTATTCTGCGGCACGGGGAGGTGCTTTCCTTTCGTAGGTGCCGTCTCGTCTTCCTTACATTCCCTGTCATTTCGCTCCCTTTCTGAGAATGTCCACATTGTCTGTGCGATGACCTTCCCAGTTAGCCCCTTAATCCGGTCACCCTTCTATTAAAAAGGGCCAGTAGCCCAGCCGCTGTTGCTCAGCGGTCGAGCGCGGACCCAGGAACCAAGAGGTTGCTGGTTCCATTCCCAGTCAGGGCACGTGCTGGGTTGTGGGTTCGACCCCTAGCAGAGGGTGTGCAGGAGGCAGCCGATGGATGATGTTTCTCCCTCATGGATGTTTCTCTCTCTCCCTCTCCCTTCCTCTCTTTCTAAAAATCAATAAAAACATATATTTTTTATTTTTTTTATTTTATTTTTTAAAAATGTCTTTATTGATTTCAGAGAGAGGAAGGGAGAGGGAGAGTGAGAGAGAAACATCAGTGATGAGAGAGTCATGGATCGGCCGCCTCCTGCAAGCCCCCGACTGGGGGTTGAGCCCGAAACCCGGGCATGTGCCCTGACCGGGAATCGAACCCTGATCTCCTGGATCCTAGGTCGATGCTCAGCTGCTGAGCCACGCCCGGCCGGGCCATATATATTTTTTAAAAATGCCGATGCTCAACCCTTAGGCTGGTCGTCAAGATTCGCCACAATGAGGTAGAAGCACTTTTTTCAACTGTATGTTTTTATCTTCGCTTCCTAAGCGAGGGATTGAGCTAATGTAGGGAGACTGCCGAGTCTTTACGCCAAGATGTTTCCTGAAGGCTCCTGAATGTCTACTTGCGTGCCGTCCCCTCATCTCTGAGTCCCGTCGCCCTAGAGTCATATCACTGCCACCCACTCAAAGCAGATTCTAAGCCTCAGCCTGAAGTGACTTCTTGCTGATACCAGCGCATCTGTGTCAGGGAGCATGTTCTGGACGTTTTAAAGCATTGCTATGGTGCTTTCTGTTTAGGAAGCATTCAGTCATTGTTACTAATCTTTAAAATTTTTCATAGCCTCCTACAATTTTATTTTGGTGTAAGGGTCGGACTTGGAGTCCTGAGAGTTGAAGGATTACTCAACAGTGTCACGGTCAGCGGTGGGCTGTGGTGGCAGTTGGACAGCTATCGCCAGTCACGAGCCTCATTTGTAAATGTTTCATTTGCTGCACTTTTAAAAAAACACGCATGTCTTTCTCTTCTTGTGTCTTCCTTTTATGTGCAATCTTGAAACTCAGTTTGGGGCTCATAGAACAATCGATGCTCTTGTGGAAAGATCCTTAGGAATTTAATTAGATTATATTCTTTCTATGGTTTTTCTTTTATGTTTTTTTTTTTTTAATTTTTATTTTTTTAACAAATATCCTGAAAAGTGATCTGCAGTTGACATTTCCCCCGTGCTCGTGTTTTTATAATATAAGGGCAGTTCTCATTGTACAATAGGATTTCTTGAGTCAGTGAGTCAGTCAATAAATATTTGTTGATCAATCATGTCACCGGTTCCTGAGATGTCAGGTAAGAGCAGGAGAGAATACTGACAGTGACTGAGCTTTCCTCCCGAAGCAATTAACTGCCTGGTTGCTGGTGCTGAGTGAAAAGATCAGTGGATTGAAGCAGGAACTAAGGTCTTTGCTTAGGCACAGACCAATTCATTTCAAGTTAGGAATTGTTCATTTTGACTATTATTAAGTAAAATTATCCAAAACCAGAAAATAAGGCCAAGCAAATAAGTTTGTATCATTTACTATACCTACACTAAATTATTTAATTTTTCTAGGAAAAATAGCCAGTGGCTCACTCTGTTATTTAATATTAATTAAAAGTTCAGGCTATGATTTTACATCTTAACGTGTAGATTTGGGTGCAGTAGAGATGCAACGTATTTTTGTTCAGTAGGAAGATAACTCCAGAACTTACTTTGGAAGTATTTGTGAAGAACTTGTATAAAGCATTACTTAGATTTTCCATAGAAGTCACTGTTTAAGCCATGTCGGCTTCAAATGCCCTCTGAATCAGTTTTAGTATTTTAGTGATTCTTCATTTATTAACGAGTCAAGTAAAATCTTTGACACAAGCTCCTTTCGTACGTGTAAGAGAGTTTTACGTTGACTTTTGAAATTACACTTCGACAGGTTTAGTAACTTCATCTTTGGCCCCCATTGGTGACATTAATGGAGATGTTACAGAGACGGTGGGAAATGTGGCCAAATTGGTGGGAACAAACAGATCTTAACCTCTTGAATTAAGAAAAAAAGATGTCGCCTTGTAATAACGTTTCAGGGTCCTGGTTGAAAAATCAGCACTGAAGGAACTACACAGGCAAAAATAACCTACTGAAGAAAGAAGCATAATTAGTCTAACAGGCCAGCTACACGCCCTCCTGTTAATGCTGCAAAGAGCTGCTGTGTGTTTTACTTAAAGACATGTATTGTAGCTGAATAATACTATAACTATGTAGTATTATTTTATATACTATAAAGTACATCTTATAGCTAAACCTGCTGTTATTACACATTATAATCTATTGAGTAATTAACAGTGGGCTTTAGTATCGGCTTATGCCTCGGCCCTAAGAGGTCCGGAGTATGGCTTTGAATCCCAGCTCTGCCCGTCATATGCTGTGTGTGATCCTTTGGCAAATTATTTCACTTTTCTACCTAGGTTACCTTGTTTATAAATTAAACTTCATAACACATTCCTCCTGTGTATTCAGAAACTATGTATCAAAGAACCATTCTTATGTTTCAGACATGCCTGTTGGTTGCTAAGGAGACACACCAAATATGACAAATGCAGTTAAGTTATCACTGATGCTGTTAAAACCGTGCATTAAAGTCTATTTTTAAATGTGTTGTTCCTTTACATAATGTCAGTTTGATTCTTTTAAAAGAGATTACAGTATTCTGGTTATGTTTTTAATTGTTGCATCTGTTTTGTCTGCCTCTTCTTTGCTTGAATCTTCATCAAGATTTTTTTAAAGTCTTTCTGCTGACTTCAATTTCTGGATCACCTGTGGCTCTCCCTCACTTACTTATTTTTTTCTCTGATTATGAGGCATTCAATTCTGTCTCTTTTCATGCCTTAACATTTTTGATTGAGTGCCGGACATCTTACATAAGATGATTGGTGATAAAGAATAAAGAAAGGCCTGGCAAAGTGCTGGGAGTGTACCAAAGAGTCAATAAATAGCATCGTTGCTGTTTATCATCATCGATATTCCACAGTCCCTAACAATTTGCATTTATGGTTGAGGTTATTTATGGAAGCAAAGCGTGTGTTTTCAAAGACCTTCAAAAGGGTTTTAAACAAAGCCAGAGATAAAATAAATGCATTAGTTTCATACTGTTAAGTACATTCTGCCACCTCTTTTTAAAAATGTATTGTGAGAACATTTTTATATTTACAGAAAAATTGTGAGGATGGTGCAGAGAATCTCCATATCCACCTGCACATAGTTTCCCGTTATTAACACTGATATTACAGCACATTTGTTATAACAAATGAAATACTATTTATACATTATTATGAACAAAGTCTCTAATGTCTTCAGATTTCCCTTTTTTTTTTTTTTTTTACCTGATACCCCTTTTCTGATGTAGAATTCTGTCCAGAATAACATACTACATTTCGTTCTCATGTCTCCTTTGGGTCGTCCTGACCGATAGTTTCTCAAATTCTCCTTATTTTTCATGCACTTGGCAGTTGTGAGGGTCACTGGTCAGCTCTAAATCTTACTTTTGATCAGAGGAAGAAATGGCCCTGAAATACTCAACTTACTATCCATTCTTTATCTAGGAAAGAATGATAAGAGTTGTACAATTTCTGGACAAGTTGGGCTCTAAAACCTCTGGGTGAAATGAGAGGGATTCGCAGCTGCTCTGGAGCGGTCGGCTGTGCGGAGGGGAGTGGCCGGGGGTGGACCTGGCAGGCTCTGGCCCAGGGGCACTGTGTCTGGGCGTCGCCCGCATCTTTGGGGAGCAGCGTGTGATTAAAGGGCAGCCAGCAGAGCTCATGCCACCGAGTGTCCCTGCACAAGTCAGGGGCCTGAGGGGAGAGAGGGCCCTGGCTGCTCCTGTTTTCCTTGAATGGAGGGTAACCTGAGCGTAACCATTTATTGTTTGTTTGTTAAGTTTTAAGATTTAGGTTTTGAGCTTGTTCAAGCAGGATGCCTCATTTACCTCTGTTAAAAATGAAAAGAATTTATGGCAGGATATAGTTAGATGGCTTGTGAAGAAAACTATCGCAGAACATTTGTATTTTAAATCTCAGTTTCCCACAATTGACTAAATGTCCGTTTATTCATATGCCAGATATTGGAAAGTCCCCGATGTTAGACACTCCGCTGGTGACTGCTTGATGGCTCCCGGTGGCAAACAGTATTGTCAGCTTTGCATCTTTTACGTCTTGGTCTTCAACCCAATTACCTGATAGAAAAAATTCGGGCATAATTTGACTGTTACATAATGAAGTTTTTTTTTATTTTGGCAGAACTATTATGGAGCTGCCAAAATGATCTTTTCAGACAACCCCCTGGGTCTGACCTGTGGAATGGTGTGTCCAACCTCCGATCTCTGTGTAGGTGGATGCAATTTGTATGCCACCGAGGAGGGACCAATTAACATCGGTGGACTGCAGCAGTTTGCTACTGAGGTAAGATGTACGCCCTGGGTTTCCCCCTCCTCGTAGCATAGAAATGTTAAAGTAACTTTAATTCTCGGTGCTTTGTTGATACCCAACACGTTTAGCCTGGTACCACAGATAAACTGGACACGTCTTGTGCCATAAACACTATTTTTATTCCACAACTTGACTTTCAAAAAATGAAATTTTATAAAACCAGATGTCGAACTAATTGCAATCCCAGAAGGTTATTAAAATACGTTGACTGAACATTACATAAATTAGAGGATCTGAAGACAGAATTTACTCATTAACTTTACATCGGAGTCTTTCAAGGGGGCCCCGTTATGGAAGGGCTGTCCTGCGTAACTGATGCTTTTCCCGGGGACTCTCTTTAATCTTTACAGTTTGAAATAAAGTATCAGTATTATTTTGTCATATTTTATGAGTAATAGAGGTTAGAGAATTTTCAAACACCCTGAAACTGAATAATATTCATCAGCATTAGATTCTGTAAACGTATGGATTTGAAGTAAGCATGTTATCTGGATGCAAATACATAATGAAATAAAACGAAAGCATTTTTTTTGCTGTTTATTTTATAAGTTTGGGTCATGGCTTTCTCTGGTACAAATCCTTTGTAAGTGACTTTGATTCTCTGGCGTATCTGCCGCCCTCCGGGGTCTCGTCTTTGGAGTCAGCTGCTAGGTCAGTTCTCATGTATCATTTAAATGATCAGCTTATATGGAGGTTACAGTAAGATCCTGTAATCCTTGGGGTCCAGTTGGCTAAAAGGCCAAATTAAATGCCTGTCAGCACTAGATTTTTGGTTAATGACTTCCCTATCTGGTTTTGTCAACTTAACAACAACGTATATTCTTTCCTTTTAGGGCCCTTCCCGTAAGATCCCTCAAGCTTAAGTCTCCCTTTGCTTTTTGTAATAAATCAGGGCTCTTCCCTTCCTGCTCCCTGACAGGTTAATTCTAAGGAAGGGCTCCTGGGAATGAGAAAATAGAAACAATTTGAGGTTCTGAGTTGTTGCAATAAATTGTGGGATTTAATTTCTTTTCTTACCAAATTCACGATTGCATTAGGCTTACCCGCCCAGGGCAGGGTGTGATCTTTACAACCTGGGGAAATCCTCCCTTGATGGGGAGAAGTCACTTGGATTCGCCCACACATTTCTTCGGGGACCCCTCGTCTCTCCAAGAAAGCAGGGCCAGCTTGCAAGGGCGCAGTAAGCCAAAGGCCACACCATGTGTGTACGAACTGACACTGCCTTTCAGAATGAAATGAGTGTAAGAAATATTGGGAGGTTTTCCGTGGCCTGGGTGAGAGGGGCAGACGGTGCTCCCCTGAGAAGGCTCCCTTGGTTTTCGTGGGATCCCCACCACCCCTTTCCAAGGCAAAGCCTGTTTGTTTAAGGCGTAGCGTAGGTTAGGATGGCATTAAGTCAATGCATTTTAACTGAATCGTGGCATCTAGAAGAGGAATATATTTCCCATTTCATCCAGTTATGCTTTGTGTAACTGTGGCTTCAAATATATCTATTAAATCATAAATAAAAATCTCCCAGGGAAACTCTGTGGAACAGCTTTCCATTCATTCTTTGTTCTTTAAAACTCTTAAAAAAATTTTTAAAACTATGTTTTTATTGGCTTTTAGAAACAGAAGAAGGGGGGAGAGAGAGAAAGAGAGAAACATCGATGAAATGAAACAGGAATCAGCAGCCTCCTGCTGGGGGACTGAGCCTGCAGCCCGGGCCTGTGCCCTGAGCAGATGAGCGAAACGCGCACAAAAATGCTGATTTACTGCCAGTGAAAAGGAAAAGGGTAGTGAGGGGAATCGGAAATGCCATCGTTCGAACTGCCGAGCTGTCGATATGAGCACTTAAGTCAAAACAGGACATGAGGCAAATAACTTTCTGTTTGTGTTGTTTGATAAAACAGTGATTGATTTTTGACCTTTAAAGAAATATAAATCTACTTTTCAACCAAATTAAGTAAAGGTTAGGAAGGCAGACTAAAATAGTATGATATTTTTGAAGATTGTTTTTGCTCTAATTTATAAGTGATTTTTAAAATACCAGCCCCGCAGCCTGATTTGGTTAAGTCCACGCCGTGCACTTTCCCAGGTGACCGTGGGCGTGCGACCGGCAGGGACTGAGGCGGGAAGACAGAGCCCGCGGTGGAATCGGGAGGCCGGCTGCTTTTTTTGGTCCTGTGTTGTCATTGTTATTCAGGCCTTTGCCGTCTCCACATCCGCAGTGACCTTGCTTCAGACGCTTCTGCGCCGTTGGGACAAACGGGCTCCGGGGCAGTTCCCACTCTCTCTGGGAGACAGTTTTTCCCAGTCCAGTCAGGCCTAACACTGTTGCTTCCGTAAGATAATTTGGCAATAATAATGTTAATAATAGTTATTTGGTTTGGAAATACAATAAAAATACACTATTATAATTTAAACAGCCAGGTGTCTGAGGCTACATTAAGGAACATTTTACAATTACTGAAATGACACCAACATTTATATTTTGCTTCAGCGCTACAATAATTAGTTTCAAGAATTGTGAATGAAGAAGGAACACGCTTACTTGTTCCTTTGTGTGATCATTTTAATAGAAAAGATATCTCTACCATGTCTTTTTGGAACATGAGGGTCACTAACAGCCTTCAGCGTCTGCCTTGTACAAGCACATTCGGGGAGATTATAGAAACACAGATACTAATAAATAGCTGAGTATTACACATCCTGTCTCAGATAATATATTATTGTGATGCATCCCATCTACCCTAGAAAAGCGGAGGCAAGAAAAAATATGTGCAGTCCTCAAATTAAAACCAGTTACCAAAAAAATTGTACATAAACTGAAATGCGAGATTGGATAAGTTCCAACTGTATGTTTGTTATGCTGATTGCTCTGTAAGTAAAATAATCAGACCCTTTGGAGCGGACACTTCATCACTAAGCCGGCGCAGCAGGCGCGAACCAGGCCGTCCCGGCAGACGGCCGGTGTGAACGCCTAGTGTGAGCGGCGCCCACTGGGCAGAGCGTCGGTCAGTTAATCCGACCAGCGTTGACGGAGCAGCGACTGGACCCAAGTGTGCTGTGAGCTGCTTCTAAACGGCAGGTCCTGAGATACATTGTAGTTTCTCGGGAAATAACAAAAGCCAGCAACTAAAATTTTGTAGCAAACATGGTAAAACATATGCTCACATTAGCGCCCTTGGACTGATAATCCCGTCTTCATTAATTTTTGTCACTTGTTTTTGGAGGCGATTATAGCTTCGTGCAAAGGACCAGGCCGGGGGGAAACGCAGTTACAATGCACCCCAGCGGCGTAGGACTCCCACGCGTTTTTGTGATATCTCACTTTAAAATGTGGATAAGCAACCTTTGAGGCATGTTTACTACGTGATGTTTTCCCACTTTGGACACAAGGAAACTAAGGATCCAAGTGACTAAAAAAAAATATAGTCAACATTAAAAAACTCCTGTTGCCCTGCAGGATGGGGGCACTTAAAACTGGATAATCCTCAAAATAGCCCTGCAGGTAAACACGATCGTCTCCATTTCATGAGGAAGTGACACGAGGCTCCATGAAATCCGCTAACTTCCACCAGCTTGCGTCTGATAAGGGCAGATCCGGGCGCACAGCTGTGCTCTCATTTGTACGACCTCCCAGACTCTCGCTGGCCCCGGGTCATGTCACAAGTCACCGAGACAAACTCAGTGGGACCCAGGTTTCCGGGCTGCAGGTCCCGGCCTTCCACCTGCGGCCCAGCCTCAGGTGCTGGGTCTCCACCCTCACAGCTCGCAGGGAGGCCCCGTGCCCAGCTCCCGTCCACTAGGAAGCAGCTCTGTTCCAGTCGGTTGTGTAAGATGAACACATAGGGCTTAGCCATGTTCTCCGTTTATACGTGTTACCAAAAGCCTTTATTGTTTTATAGTTTTTATTTTTTTATAGTTTTCTTCTGTCCATCAAAGGATTGTTGTGCATACAGCCGGGTTCCAGGTTTTGCAGGGCCCAAGATGATGAACTTTGTGGGGTTTTTTTCTATGAAAAGTCACACAGAAGCTCTCCTGGGAAATTTAAATGCAGGGCCTTGGATGGCGTCTGTGTAACGAGGGACCCTGAAGGTCAAGCTTGTAACTAAAGTTTTATTGCACTTTGGAAAGCCTGCACCTGATTTTGGGAAAGCTGATCTATAAGCAAATTTAGGAAAGAGTCTAACATGTTGTTGATACAGTTTGACAAACTGATTGATCAGTATGTACCTGATGAGAAACTCAGGTGCGGTGCCATACTGATGAGTAATACACAGTATTTATCACTAATGCGGTTTATGGGTCATTTATAAACAGAACAACAGTTAGATTCATGATGCCTCACATTTGCCAAATTGCCTCAAATCTGCATCATCTCTCCATAAAATCTCTCTCTGCTGCTGTTTAAAACGGTATTACTAATAGTTTGTGAATGTTGTTCATACCAAAAAAGAGTAATCATTTACGGGAGAAAGGAGATATACAGGAAAGATGTACATTAAGCAGTAATAAAATCAATAGTTTGTACCCTGGCAAAGCACTGCTTTCAGGGATATAAATGCAAGTAATACCTTTTAGGGGGTGACTGGTCCCTCTCCTTTCCATCTTAATGTGATGATTAATAGAAAGGAATGATGTCTTGATAGATTTCACTAAATATCTGACATTTTTCTTTAAAAATCTTTAGAAATCTATTAAAAATACTCAGTGCTGGCACAATGATTGATAATAAAACCATAGGACTGAATGAATTGCTAGGTGATTTTTATCACAATATTTTAGTTTGTTTTAAAACTATATATTTGTACCTACAGCTTTAAAATATAAGTTTCAGAGATTTGGGGCAATAACTTTGAAATTGGTCCAAATTGCATGGTGGTTAGGATTATTTGCTATTGGTTTTTTTTTGTTTTTTTTTTTATGAATTTGCTATTGGGTTTTTTTTTTATGAATTTGATTTTATAAATCCAAATCTATATACTCTTGTGGGCCCCTTGCAGTTTAGAATGATGGACTGTCATTGATTTGAGTCTGAACATCTTAAAAATATGTGCCCTTTTATAAATGTGTTGTATGAATCGTGGTAGAAAGCAGTGATACTGGATCTGTCTGAATCACATGGAAGAGGCATGATACTGTGAATTAAGATTTAAACCATGTATTTTGCTCCCAAGTATCATGATAAATATAATAAGTAGGCAATAAAAATTAATAGCTGAAGTAAAAACGAAGATAGAAGCCCTTTTGGGGCCAGAAGTATTTAGCAGTGCCCAGCGGGTGTGGCTCCGTGGCTGAGCGTCAGCCCATGAACCACGAGGTCACTGGTTCAGTTCCTGGGCAGGGCCCATGCTCAGGGTTCGGGCTCGATCCAGCAGGGGCTGTGCAAGAGGCAGCTGAGAGATGATCCTTCTCTCTCATCCATGTTTCTGTCTCTCTCTCTAAAAAAAAAAAAAAAATCAATAAAAACATATTTTAAAAATTCAGCGGTGAACGGGGCACTCGGGCCTCTCTCTGGTAGGTTCTGCGTGACAACCAGGGCTGATGGGGAGCCCGACCCAATGCAACTTCTAAGAAAATGTACTGCTTATTTCTGTTAAAAACATACATGCATTTGAAATATTAAAAAGTGCTGAGGATGTCGAAGTTAGTTTAAAAACTGTAACCATGGCCGCTGGTCTCTCCATAGGTGTTCAAAGCAATGAACATACCGCAGATCAGGAATCCGTCTCTGCCTCCCCCGGAGGAGATGCCCGAGGCCTACTCGGCGAAGATCGCTCTCCTCGGAGCCGGGCCGGCCAGTATAAGCTGCGCTTCCTTTTTGGCTCGACTAGGCTACTCTGACATCACGATATTTGAGAAACAAGATTACGTCGGTGGTTTAAGGTAATGGCTACGTTTGTTTCACGTTTGTATCAAATAGCGAGTGATGCTATTTGTATCCCATGTATCGAAGACCGGTGATGAATAGTGCTGGTTCTAATCATATAGGAGCTTCAGGCTCACAGATGGTATTGTCAGTGTTCTTTTTCCAAATGCTCAGATTTTGGGTTTGTTATTAAGTTTGAATTTGCAGTTGGCTTTAAGCAATATTTATTTTAAAATTCCTCTGTCTCATTCTGTGAATTTTAGAGAAATCTCAGCAAAATATTTTATGGATAGAGGAACCAATGCTATGAAAACTTATTTCACCCCCGTGAATCTCTCCTTTAATGGAGATGTATCTGGGAATTATGGAAATCGGAAATGGAAAAATCCAGCTCAGGAGAATATCGAGTGATTCATTTTGTTGCGTAACAGACACAGTGTCCTGCTCACGTATTTTCAGTGTAGTCTCTTACGTTTTGCATGTGATTAGGTGAGAGCCTACAGAAAATGTTTCGTTTTAACAAACATCCATGCAGTTTATCTCATAAATGCCATAAATATAAAAAAAATAGTGTCTGATATTAACAAGTATGATTATTATGTATCAAGATTCAATCACGGGGTCTTTTATTTCCAGGAAGAGTAATACATAGAAATGGAAAATGTTCATTTGTATCCGTGACTTTCAGATATTCAATCTGAGCCTAGAAATTGGATGGAGTTTACTTACTTTAAAATATGTGGAGCTCTATAGTGGATGTAGGTTACATTTATGGTCATAAAGAAATAAATGTTATAAGTAGGGAGTGAATATTGCTTAAAACATTTGGCATAAAAATGAGAAAGTATTTGAGTGGTAAGTTAAAAATATCACTCCATTTATTGTTATTTTCCCTACATTTCTCAACTTGCATCAGAAAATCATGGATTGTAAAATAAAACCATTGTGCATATCTGTTGCTATACTTAGCATTTAAGTTTTGATAGCTAATGAGCTGGTTTTTTTAAACAACACATTTTTTATATTTAATAATCACAAAGAATAAATTTAATCAAGCTATGACTAAAATTTGTGCTTATGTTTTTTAATGTTTTATGACCCCCCCCAAAATACTTGTCAGTAAACATATAAATTTCAATATTGGTCAAATAACAATATGATAAAAGAAAGATAAACTTGCATTAATGTAAAACTATTTGAATCATCAAGCAAAAATATTACATAATAAGACCCATAAAAGTATATATGAAACATAAACTGAATTAAAAAAATAACCCGATTGTCAAGAAATAATTATTTTCCTATATTGACATTTTGCCACTATGAGTTTTAAGGGATTATATATATTTTATAAGTTTCTTTATCCTGGGAAGTAAAATACCCAATATATTATTTTGCCAGAATGCATTAGACTCTCTTTTATAGTGGCGTTTTACTGCAGCCTTATTAATTAGCAGAAACATAATGTATTAGCAAGATAGTAGAAGCATTGTGCATTTTTTTCAATTATACACATCAATGAATATATGAGCTAATTTAAAAAATATGAAGGTAATTGTTGTCTACCCTAGTAGACTAGGAAAAATCTTTCTGTCGCTTAATTGCGGTTCCACAAGAGCTTAAAATGGAACAAGCCCTGTTTGTGAATTATTCTGTGTTGACAATTTTGGTAGATTATTATGGTTGTTAGCATCTCTCTCCCTAAAACGCGGGAGAGTCCTTCCTAAATCATACAAACTGGCACTAAACTCGCGTTTTTATATATTGGCTGAACATTTTCTAGGGGGACGAATTTCCCTGGATTAATGACCAAACGTGTTAATTTTTTTAAAAAATATGTTTTTATTGATTTCAGAGAGAGAAAGGGAGAGGGAGAGAGAGAGATGGAATCATTGACCGGCTGCCTCCCGCACGCCCCCTGCTGGGCATCGAGCCCACAACCCGGGCCTGTGCCCTGACCGGGAATCGAACCTGTGACCTCCTGGTTCATAGGTTGACGCTCAACCGCTGAGCCACACTGGCCGGACTATGTTATTTTCATTTGTTTATTTTTATCTATTTCCTTCCCTTCGCCCTGGGATCTTCCCTGTACCTGGGGCCAGCGTGAAGCGTGCAGTCGGCCTCCTTCGGCCCACCCCGTGGTCGTCACGGTTACAGGGCTGTAAACACCGACGCTGGAATTCGGCCAGAATCACAACCACGACACGTTTCTGTTAATTTATTTCCTCACTTACAGATGTCTCTCATTCTCTTGTACCTTCCAAGTGGCTAAAAAAGATTAGATTAGCTTTGTATTTGAAATCAATTGCCTAAAGAGGGGATGTCAGGTTTTATCTCTCCTTCGCCTTGTCATCCAAATAGATCCTTTTATCCCCGGTAAATTGAGATCCCAACTCCCTCGAACAGAATCCCTGGCGTTGGTGAAAGAGACCCCGGACTTAATCCCCACTGTATTGAACACAACCTATTGATTATTTCTGATGCTGCAACAAATTTATAAAATACTCAGTGGTTTTGCTTCCCTCCAACTGTGGCTTATTTTTTTTCAGGACGTGAGTGTAAAGGGGTCGAGGGGCTTGATATTATAACGCAGAGGTGGGGGTGGTGCTGCGGGCTTTCCGTGTTCACGCGTGTGTGTACTTTCTGGTTTTGCTTTTACTCACAAAAACTAATGCCTACTTGACCTTGACCAAATCTAACCAACAAAAATAATTTTAATTCTCACCTGAGGATATTTTTTCTATTGCTTTTCAGAGAGAGTCGGGGAGGGGGGGGGAGAGAAGCATCGATGGGAGAGAGACACATCCATTGGCTGCCCCCTCACGCACCCTGACCGGGTACGTGCCCTTGGCTGGCATCGAACCCGGGACCCTTTAGTCTGTGGGCTGGCGCTCTAACCACTGAGCCACCAGCCCGGGCTCGCCTCTTCGGCTCGCGCTCTGTAGGAGACGCTCACACCGACTCACACACTCATTCGTCCCGTCCTGTGCTAAGCACTGAGGGGGTGTTGGGTGCCGAGCTTGTGGGCGCTGGGGGGCGTCTAGCACCCCACTTGCTCCGATGCCCACTTCAGCTCGAGAAGTTATCCTTTCTCGGCGCGGGTTTCCTCCCACTCGGATGGGCGCGTCCTTCATTCTGTAAACTGTCATGGTGTAGAAATGATCGTGTTTTAGAAATAGTTTGGTTTTTTTTTTTAAGTGCAGATAGTGAGCCAGTACTGGTTTTATTTATTTATGACCGTAGCCTTGGGGACACTTACTGCTTTCATAGGAGAAGACGGGTTTCCTATAAAACGTCCTACAGATCACGTGGAGCGAACCCGTCATGTCCTAACCAGCAGAGCGATACTGCAGAGTCACAGATTTGAATCTGAACACGCTCAAGCAGCGATTTTCAACCCTTTCATCTCGTGACGCACGTATGCACTAATTACTAAAATTCCGTGGCACGCCAAAAAATGTATTTTTTTGCTGATCTGACAAAGTGTGATCCTGATTCCTTCGCACCGGATGGCTCTTGTGCCGGCTGTTATTTTTTATTTGACAGTCTAAGGAAAGAGAGGCCTCTGAATAAATAGTCAGGTATTGCATTTTTTTTTAAAGTATGTTTTTATTGATTTTTAGAAAGAGGAAGGGAGAGGGAGCGAGAGAGAGAAATATTGATGAGAGAGAAACGCCATCGACTGGCTGCCTCCTGCACGGCCCTGCCGGGGTCACGCCTGCGGCCTGGGCCCTGACGGGAGTCGCACCGGCGACCTCTCGGTTTTCGGGTTGATGCCCAGCCACCGAGCAGCGCCCGCTGGGCGTATTGCGCGTTTTAAAAACCCCTGTGGCACGCCAGCTGAAAATCACCGAGCTAGAGGTATATTTACAGGCTATGTCTGAATGTGTGTGTGTGTGTATTAAAATGATCTCCACCTTCAACTAATTTTTGGTATTTAAGCTTGTATTTTATTAGGAATTTCTAAGGCTATAATTATTAGTAGATAATGAACTTAATGCTTTTGAAAATGCTTTTGAACAATTGTCTGTTTGCTGTTTGCTTTCTGTTTACATTTATGCGTTTTCACAGCAGTTTCTACTCTTTCCCAGCGCCACCCCTATAATATTTTATCGCGCGTATTACAACGCGGAGGCCCTCACTCGTCTCGCATTCTGTGATATGAAAATACCCTTAGAAGAGACACTTAGTCCTTGCATATTGATCAGAAAGACATGCTGCATTTTTAGGATTGGCGATTTTTCAACAAATGCTTCTTTTTTTCCCCCCAGCACGTCTGAAATCCCTCAGTTCCGGCTGCCATATGACGTTGTACATTTTGAGATCGAGCTCATGAAGGACCTCGGCGTGAAGGTAAAGAAAGACGTAATCCACGCGTATTTTCAAAGAGAAGGGAGCAAGCTCCACGCTACAGATTCACGGCAGAATGTCATGCGTTTTAGGGAAGAACAATTAAAAGCTGCAGCAGGCAGCAGCCGAGCGACGCGGCTCCTCGCTTAGGGCATTTGTCTGTCTCCCGTCTGAATGCCACCAGCCGGGAAAAGGGCAATCGATAGTCGTCATCTGGCACGCCCGCCCGTGATTAATTGTCTGTAAGAAACAAATTCCTAAATTGCTTGAGGGGTTCAGCGCGGCGGATAGAAGGATCTGGTTTCTTTAATCACGTTTTCTTTTTTTCTCTCCCATATGCGACTTGCGTGCGCCCTGAAACACTCGTATTTCGCAATATGGAGCGTGATTCCTTACAGAGGTTCCTCTTATTTATTCTGCGCCGTGTGGGCCTCGCTCCTGGATAATCCTTCCTCGGCGTAAGCAGTGGATCCCGGGGTAGGAAGCCTCGGCTTTGTGCTGCTCATTGTTTTGAGAAATAAATACCCTGGTGTTCTTTTAAAGACGGTCAGAAAGTGAGCGCATTGTGTTTAGAATATAGCTGTACGTCTCTCCGTTCTCTGTATTTAAGGGTATTAGGCTCCGGCTCTTCCTTGGAATCTGTTGCTATTTTTTGTTTCAAAAAATGTTAATTTTCCCTCACAGATCTAACCCAGATTAATAAAATAGTGCGATTTACATAATACATTCTGCAAGCCCATGCAGAAGGTATTTNTTAATAAAATAGTGCGATTTACATAATACATTCTGCAAGCCCATGCAGAATATTTTGAAAATATTCTGAAAAGCAGTTAACAAACTACTAAGGGCTCTTGCATTTAGAAATAAAAAATAATCACTAAAAAGGGAGACACTCAAAACAGTATTTTGCGCTTTTACACTTTTAAGCGCATTTAGTTGGCAGTGGTTTGGTGATGAAACGTTTACACGTAGTCACTAAACAGAAAAACCTTACAGCAAGAGCCCAGAGCTATGAAAACTCAGCGTTCACAGTAGATTATTTAACGATGATTATTTGCTTTCTAAAAATATATTTTGCAAAGTTCTTTAAATGCCCTCTGTTTTGAATGCACGTTCGTAACCTAAATCCCATTAGAAAAGGAAATGGTCATTTATTGAGACCTCCAACCAATATTAGGTGTTGAGACTGAAGATTAATCGGAAGTTAATGTAACGATGTGTCTATAAGTCGTTGCAAAAGGCCCTCAGCCTTTGGGGTCCCAGGCCCATCGCGTAGACGAGGCCCCGGCGCCGACCTTGCCTGGTGTCCGTCAGTCACGCCGCTCCTCTGTAGTCAGGTAACCGGGCGGGTCAGCAGCCCCGGCGTCGGCTGGCGTCTGCCCGCAGAGACGCTGCTGCTCCCGGCCTGAACTCGCCGCTTCCACGCGCAGGGGCTGGGGAAGCGGGAGCCGGAGAGCCTGGGATTCCTCTGGGAGGCGTGGAAAGGGCTTCCCGCCTCCTGCACGTGTCCATTTTATTTTTTTATTTTTTTAAAATATATCTTTATTGATTTCAGAGAGAGGAAAGGAGGGGGAGAGAGAGACAGAAACGTCAATGATGAGAGTCATTGATCGAGCCCGCAACCCGGGCCTGTGCCCTGACCGGGAATCGAACCCCGATCGCCTGGATCCCAGGTCGACGCTCCACCGCTGAGCCACGCCGGCCGGGCTTTGTACCATTTTAAACCCAATGAATTTATTATGTTATCAAGGGAAAAATCAGAAGTTTTGGAGGAAGCTGGCGCCCCCGCGTCCGTCTCCGGTTGCTCTAAGATGCGGGGTGAAGCGCCCAGGCTCGCTCCGTGGACAGTCGCTGCTCCTGCGGCTCCCAGCAGACGGCAGGGCGTCTCCGGCCTCCGAGAACCTGCCCCGCGAGCGAGCGAGGTCCTGCGGCTCTGCTGGCCTGTGGTCTGCACGTGTCGCCTCCTTTACGTGGACACGTTCCCCTCGCCTGCCTTCCGCTTGTGCCTCTCAGTTAACATTTCTTATTTTAAACTCAGCTGTAGTTTTCTGGCAATGAGATGAGCTGCGCCCTAGGTTCACGCTGGTTAACTTCTGTGCAGAACGCGGCACGTTCTTATGTGCATAGATGTACATACATGTGCATGCCTGCACATGCGTGTGCGTGTGTGCGTTTGGCTCGATGGTCTAGCATTATCTTGGTTGTTATTCGAGTTTTCCTTTCCCTGTCTTTCTAGAGGGTTTGTTTCATTTATTCAGCGAATAATTATTGAGAACTCACTCTCGCCACGACGCGCTGAGGGCTGGCCCAGAAGCCGCCTTCTTTCGGACCCGAGTCCTGTGTTCCGGGCAGGTTGACGGGCACCCGTCACCCAGACATCAGAAACGCGTCACACCCGGAACGGAGCCTCGTCCGTCCCCTTCACTCCCAACTGGGTTCTTTCGCTAAATTTCCCGTTGAATAATTTCCATTTATTTCATATCGAAGAGCTTGATAGATTGGTTCTTGTTAATACTGAGATGAATTTTTCAAGTCAAATACGGTGTCACAAGAAAATAATGAGGGTGTTATCTGCTCTCTCTGTACGTTATATATGACTTTTCTTCCACCGTTTCACTGGCTGGAACTTCTAATATGGTTCAGAAGAGCGATGGCACGTGGCATCTTTTCTGCCCTATGAGAGCACTTTTAATCGTATTGAATAAATATTTTTCTAGACTTAGAATATTAAGATTTTATTTAGTATTTTTTGTGTTTTTTTTATTTTGACGGAGAAGGGGTGTTAAACTTTTTAATGGCCTCTTACAAGCCTTGTTTCAGTTAGCAGACTGAATCACAGTGACCGCTGCGGCCGGGGCAGGTCCGCGGCACCGGGTGCGTTCTGTCTGCCCAGGAGAGCCGGACCTGCCTGGGCGCCGTTCCGGAAAACCGGCCCTGCGCTGGGCGGGCGACGCGGACGTTACGCCGGAGACGCAGCCGGGACGGCACAGCCCTGCGGCTGCACATTGACCGAGAGCCTGTTTTTATTTGTCTTGCTTCACTTTTGTTTGTCACTGTCACGAGTCTGGGTGATAGAATTGTGCTGGCTTCCTAAGAAATAAACTCTCCAGCTTCTACGTACCTTATTGTTGCTAAGAACACAGTCTGGAGACCGACTTTCTTCGCTAAATTTAAGGATTTATCCTTCTGACCTCAAGGCCTTTTTATGGGAGACAAAGCTTAGATTTTTTTTTTTCTTTTTTCCTACGGTTATTAGCCGTCTCACTTATTTTATCCTCACATCTATTTGGCCAATAGATGTATTTTCGTAAAAAAATATTTGTTTCATTCTGGATTTTGAATTAATTAGCATGGATTTAAACGTGTTCTTCCAGGACACAATGAAAAACCTCACCGGTCCCTGTGATCACCTGCCTTCGTGTTTCTAAGCCTTTCGTTGTTTTCTTGACTTTCCCCGGGCCGGGCGAGGCCGCGGTTTCGGTCCATAATGTATCTGTAAACCATCAGCTCTCAGAATTGTACGTTTCCTGAGTGACCAACGGCTGAGTTTGTCTCGGTTAATTCTTTCCCTCGCCCCCTTACGATGCACTTGCTGTTTCTTGTTTGAACCTCTCGAGTTTCATACTCACTTAACGTGTGTGTTTCCAGGTCGAGTAATAAATCCATTCAAAATTACTCATTTCTGTCCGGACAGACCCTTGTCGGCACCCGTATGTCCTTATTACTATAATTGTTGTTATTTTCCCTGAGGAGTGTGGTGGTTTCTCCCTTTCACAGGGACTTGGGTGGCCACTGTTTTCCGCGTTCCTGCCTTCTTACGGGAACGTTCCCATTTCTGTTTTTTTACTTTACTTGTCGGCAAGATACACAGTTTGTAACTTGTGAGGCGACTCCCAAGTGATTTCACATCAAAGGGTTATTTCTGATTAAATAAAACGACTTTTTCTTTAGAAGAATCAGCCTCTTGGCCGTTACATTTTTATAAAATCTCTTGATTTCATCATAAAAAAATCAACATAGACCCCTGCAAATTATTTTTAACTTTAGGTGGACTGAATAAAGCCTCTGTGACATTTGTGCCAGGCGATGTTCCTGATCTTTCGGATTAAATGCCCTCTCTGGTTTGCTTTGCAACTCAGAAGAGGTGCGTGTGGATGTTTTGTCTCATAGTGTTTATAATATTTCTAATGGCTTTAATTTTTAAAGATAAAAATGTAAGTCTGCCCAGAGATCTTGCATTTTCCTAAATATGTTCATAACCTGTGTGTTTGCCATCTCTCAGAACAGTTTGACGAAGCTGTTTTGATTTAACATAATATTTGTAATCGCCCAGCTTTCCCTCGGCTTCCTGACGAGTCAAAACACCTGAGCGAGGCCTCGGCCTTGACGACCTCCCTTCATGGTCCCGTTTTCATTACTTGCGGTTTCCCGGAGCACGCATTTCATTGCTGCGGGGTGCTGCTGGGGAGCGAATATAAAACCTTGTCGTAGCTGCACTGGAAAGAGAGAAACAGTTGACAGAATAATTGTCCTTTCTAAAGAAAGGTAAATATTTTAAAAACTCTTCCGGCTGATCTCCGGCCTTAGAGATTCTGGAAATATTTTCTCTCTTTAGCCAAATATTCCGTCATAATCACACGAGACGCGTGGTTCACTGTGTGTCTCTGCAGCGGGCGTCACGTAGCTCATTTAAAGGACGCGCTCCGCCGGCCCGCGGTCCGTGTCCGTGGGTCATGCATGTATGCGCACGAGTCCGTTGGTTCATCTCTTCCCGCCCCCACCGCCCCCCTCGCGTGGGGGTGACTTCACCTGACAGGTGTAACGTCTGGATGTTGAGGACTCGGGGGAGGCGCACCCGGGCCTGTGGTCTCACGGGCGCCCGGGAGCCAGACGTTAGCCGGGCTCCGTGTTTTCGCCTCACGCCTGTAGGTCCCTTTCTCAGGTGTCCGGGTGACCGAAGGATCTTTGTCCCGTGTCCTTGAAACGTGTGACTGTTCCCCATTCCCCGGGGGACAGGCCCCTTGGCGAGCGGCCGCAGCTCCCTTTGGGGAGGAACTCGGGTGGTCACCGCGGTGTTGATCCGCAGGGTCCTCCCTCCGAGGCCCGGCCACCTCTGCCGCCGGCAGGTTCCCAGTCTGAAAATTGGCTGGTGTCTGGGAACTGAACAGACTATTGTGGCTCTTAATTGGGGTGAGTCCCCTCTGCTTCCAGCCTCAATGCATCTTCCCTGGGCGATGCTCCCGTCAGAACTCCGTCCGCTCCCGACAAAGGCCCCGTTCAAACGCGGCGGCCTCTCTCGCCCCCCCCCACCTTGGCTGAAGTGAGTCTCCCTCCTCTGGACTCCCAGGGGCCCTGCCGGTCGCGCTGGTTTGTGTTGTATTTACTTACCTACGTCTGCTGCACGGACCTTAACTACGCGCAGGGCCAGAAACAGGCTCATCTTCACTGTGTCCGTTAAAGCGCCCCCACGTCGCGCCTTGAACGCCTGAATTAAGCTACGGAAGTTCACGCGCTTGATTTCCAATCCGCTTGCTTCTCGCTCAGCTCCTTTATTAAAAGGACATGCGTCCGGCCCCCGGGAAGGCCCGTTAGTGTTCCCCGCACGCCGAAGTCGGTCTGTGTAAACTCCCTCCGACAGGCAAGCGTGTTTCCGCACGCGCGCGATTTTACAGCTACGCCCCGTTTCTGTTCTTTTTGATGTTGAAGATCAAGATTTTTATGAATCGAATGCCAACGTGTCCTTCACACCTTGTGTCTTGCAGATAGTTTGTGGCAAAAGCCTTTCGGCGAATGAAATCACTCTCCGCACGCTGAAGGCAGAGGGGTACAAAGCCGCTTTCATCGGCATCGGTGAGTAGCTTATGTTTAAATATTTCTTTATGATGTATTTTTTTAAATGTCCTGACAATATACTGAATAGCCACCTTCGGACACGTCCGTGGGAAGGAAAGTGTTTCCCGGCCGCGTCTCAAAGCTCAGAATCTGGGCTCGGAGAGGTTGCAAGGCTCTGGCTTTCTCTCTGTGATAAAACAAATGGGCTAAATTGATCATGAAAGACAGAGTTGGCTTGTCTTCTGCTAGTCTCTTTTTTTTCAAGATTCCCTAAAGATTTTTCCTATTTGGCTGAATTTAAGGACGTGTCACCGTAGTTCTGAAGGTCACCTGGGCCCTGCTAAGGCGTTTCCTGTGCCTTACGGCTCCACGTTTTGCCGAAATCCCCCAGGGAGGTGGAGTTTCCTGACGTTTTTTCCTCTGTCCACTTTCTCCTTTTCTGGGGGACCCGAGGGGACAGCTGGTTGCATCTCGTTTCTGTCTCATGAACGTCGTGGTCATTCCCTGGTGTGACTGGGCCGTGGACAGCTGACGGCCCTCGCGCGGAGCAGGGCCCTCCTGATGTCCTTCAGTCTGTCTTTTCCCCTGTTTACACACCGTGGGTATCAGTGTCCATGTGGTGAATCTACACGGAGAGGACAGCCGCCCCGTCCCTGAGGCGATCACACCCTGGGTAGCGTTTTAGGGTCGGGGGCCGGTCCGTTTGTCCAGCGTGTCCAGAAGGAAACCCTCAGGAGCGCTGCTCGGGCTGTCGAGTCTCCTTGTCAGGATGCCGAGAACCGACCTCTGTCTTGACCGTCGCTGCCAAGCCTGAGACCGTTTCGGTCACTCTCTTTATTTAGATGAAAAATGAAAGAGAGGAAAGTAAGTCTTCACTGTTTTCTAGGTTCTAAATGTCTGCATTGAACCTCCTTTATTATGTACACATGTTGATTTTAGAGAGAGAGGGAGGGAGAGGGAGGGAGAGAAACACTGATGAGAGAGAAACGTGGGCCGGCCGCCCGCCCCCTCCTGGGGACCCAGCCGGCACCTGGGCATGTGCCCTGATGGGGAACCAAACCTGCGACCTGCGGTGCAAGGCGGCTGAGCCGCGCCGGCCAGGGCGAACCCCCTTTCTGTCAGCAGCTTGCGTGCCGCTGTGGCCGCTGTTTCTCTATATATTTACGCACCACGGTCGCCGTGCAGATGGGGACTGGGCGGGAGGAAAGGTCTTGGTTTCCCTAAGTTCCGTTTCCAGAGGCCTTGCGGCGACCGTGGTCTCCCATTTCAGCTTTACAGTCCTGCTGAGGGTTCACCACAAACCAGACAGGCATCTATCAGGGGTGCAGACCCCCGCGTTGCTGCTTCTCTCGGCCAGCCCGGTTCAGAGCCGCCCGGTCGGGAACGAACGGACAGGTTAGGCAGGCAGCCGCCTGAGACGCGGGATGTGTGCACGGAGCTGTCTGAGGTTCGCCGTCGCGGTTTCCCGCGGCCGCTGTTGTGCGTAAGCGAGACGTTTTCGATGAATGGAGCCGGGTAGGGCCGTGCGGGTTTCTGTGTCTCTACGAACGCTGTCTACAAAGAATCTCTGTACCGAAAAGATAGGATCCAAATAAATAACCAATACGTTGAAACGTCTCCAACTCAATGGCCTAAGAAGCACATTATCACAAGAATTTGGAATAATGAGATGGTTTGTCGCCCGCGTGGTCCCCGCGCAGCGCTATCTCCTATCTGTGAGAATCAGTAACGGCTCCCTGTATTTTCCTGTATTTCATTTCGTTCTGTTAAGTCCCCTTACACGTGTTAGTCGACAATTCTGCATCCGTTCACAGTACCCCGCCTGGCCCTGCACCTCGGCGTGCGTGCGGCCGTGAGCCTGGGGAGACCTTTCCCGCTCACTGTGATGCTGGGAGGTGACTCTGTTGGCATTTGGGTGGAGCGATGGGGAGGACGCAGCGGGCCTGCGTTCAGCATTTTATATGAATATATACAAGACAGTTTCATCTCCGCAGAAAAATAAAATACGGCTTCTACCCTAGGAGACAAGTAGCCTGCTCCCCCAGGAGTTGACGACTGGACACTCGTCACTGCTGAGGTGGGACCACAGCACCGCCCGTCACCCGGGCGGCAGCCTCCCGCCCTTCCTGCTTTGGGGCGTCGATCGTGCCCCCATAGCGTAACCAACCGTCACTCGCTGTCTTTCCTGCCTTTCCCCCTCGGTTAGGAGAAGCCCATATTGGAGTGGGGATCCCATGTTATTGAGGACGGAGGTTTGGCCACATGAACACTGGACATTTATCCAAAGGAAGCAGAAACACGTCCACAAGACTCCCACAGGAAAAGGCATTGAGCCCAAAACTGTAAGCAAACAGCAAACACAAATGCCCGTCAGCAGATGTGTCCGTGACACAGATCCCGGCGCATTCACCCAACAGCACACTGCTCAGCGACCCAGGGGACGAACCGCTGACAAGCAGCAGCCTGGACGAGTCGTTCAGACGTGTTGAATGAAAGAAGCCCGGGGTGCAGCGTGTTAGGCAGTCAAGCGGGGACATTTCCCCGGACGTCCGNTGTTAGGCAGTCAAGCGGGGACATTTCCCTGGACATCCATGAAGGACACCTCGCCGGGTGCAGCCAACATCATCGCAGCTCACGGGCACCGTGGGGAGCCATCGAGCGCGGCCCTGGGTCCCCTGGCTGCGCGTTGGGGACGCCCAGCGGTACCCGTGACCCTGGTGAACTCACGGTCAGGATGCTTACTGGGTGGGGAGGGGGTTATGGAAACTTAGTGGAGGGAGTTTGAGTGGAAAGAATAGTTGGCAGTTAGCGGGACAGGAGGAGCGGCAGGGAGGCGCGGTGGCTGGTGGAGGAGCCGGTTTTCCGGGAACCAGCAGATGCAGCCTAAGAGGAGTGTTCCTGGCGCGTTCGACCTCTGCTTGGCGTGTCTTCGGCTGGAGAGTTAGGCCAAAGGCGGGTCATGGAGGGCCCGGGTGGCCTGCTCGGGAACGTGGGCTGTTACTGTGTCGAATATGAGAACAGATGGAAAGGTTTTAGGCACCATAGTCTCTCTGGATAGAAGATGAATTTCAGAGGAACAGCCGTGGACACGTGGGAGCCAGCTGGGCAGGGGAGAGGTGATTAGAGCTTGAAGTTGGGCGAAGGATGGATCCGGTAATTGATATTTAGATCTCAACGCTTCGGTCTTTTTCCTTATGGTTTGAAATCACAAACCTTAATGAGAACATCAGGAAATAAGTGACCACTTAATAACTAGCTATTAGCATTATACAGTCTTTTGCTTCTAAATTCCTGTAGCGTAGGGTTTTTAATGTTGAATTACTCTCTGTGTACATAGGATAAAACCTCACATTATCTTAACCGTCCAAACGGTTATTTTCAACCAAAGATAGCTCTGTTATCCCAGCATCAGCATTATTGAAATGATGTATTTTGATCAGCATTTGCAAGTTACATAAGATTATTCCTATAATTGGTTTCAAAGTACTTTCTCATATTTATCTCCTTGAATATTAAAGCTCATTAGGAAATGTATATTTAGATATGTAGAGAAGATTAATTCATAAAACTAAAAGTAAACATAACTAATTGAAATGCTTAATAGAGCATTAACAGGAACTGAATTCTGGGATAGCCAGGCAGGAGGCCCTCCCAGCCGTCTTTCTGCTCCGCTTGATGCCAACTGCGGGCACCACCTGCAGAATGAAACAGGTAGGACCTTAGGACCAGGAGCAAGCGACTGAAGAACCCCCTGGGTGTGGCCCTAAGGGATGTTTCAGTGACGAGCTGGCCTTAACACTTTTCAAGTTTTCGTGTGAAACTCAAAAGCATCACTGTATGTTTCAACCACCATTCAGGAATAATCGTATTTAGCCAGTTTCTGTAGTTAGATGATTGAGAGAGTGGTGATATAAATAGATGGTCTGAGAAGAATTTAGGAAACAGAGAGCCTTCGATATTCCCCATGAGTTACATGATAAATCTATTTCCAATTGGAATATATTATCAATGTTTTCCTACCGGTTTTCTGATCCCACTAAGAGAAAAATGCAGTATAAGCTGATTTTTCAGACACCTGTTGTTCCTTTGTTAGGAAAACATCTGGGACCACACCGAGATGCATTGTTGTTCATTTATATCTAGTGTATTAGAATTAAAACCAGTTGCTCCCTCGGTAATGGCAATAGGATGTGATGTCATTGACTGACAGGAGCCCCGACACTGTAACAGAGGTAATTTGGTTTTATATTCTGTTTGCCTAGATACAGTATTGACATCTTCAAAGGTCACAAGGGTGAGACTGCCTAGGTTAAAATTTAGAAATTTAATTTACAAATACACGTTTTAATGCTCTAGAATTCCTCGTGGGCGGGCGCCTACAGGAAGCCGGGGCCGGTTCTGTCTGCCGCGCGTCTCGCTTACAGCTGCGCCGATCGAACAGGGGACGTGCCGCGGGCACAGTTAATGCAACAGGCTTGAGGCATTACCGTGGAGCCTGAAACCTGGCTCAAGGTCCTGCTTGGAAAGTAAATGGAAGAAAGAAAAGCCACACCCACAAGCACATTTTCTGGCTCTAGTCAGTCTTTTGAAAAGAAGCTAGAGAAGTTCCCCAAGTATTAACACAAAGTAAGCTATGGAAATTCTTACTTTTATAATTAGTCCAGTGAGACTTCCGTCTGAAAATGTCAGGCCGACTGCTAGCATATCCCGCTGTCCTATCCTGAAGTGCCCCTAAAATAAAAGCAACAGGATTTTTCAAATGTCAAAAGCTCCAAAGAGAAAAGAGGCCAGGAAAGGAAGCAACAGTGAAACTTTGCCAAAGCAGATGGCTGCAGAGACGGGACCGAGCAGACCCGACACCCTCAAGCTCGACCCAGGCCCGGGGAGCACCGTGGTGTCCCGGCCGAGTCTACTCAGAGGTTCAAGGCCCCGAACTCCAGGCAGCTGTGGGTGCGGGAACAGAGGAGAAGAGATGGAACCACGAGAGAAAAAAGTGTGTGTTGGGGGGTTCGGGGGTG